TTGATGTATGAACGCATGACTGTGAGTCGCTTTGGATAAAAGCGTCTGCTAAATGGCATATTATTTATGTTATTAAATTACATTTCTATTGAAAGATATAGTGTCCTTTTAGATATTTGTAGTATAAACACAACAACACAGCCTATTGAGACAGAAACCTGTGTGTCCTGTCTGTCTCTCTCTCTCTCAGGGCTTCACTTACACAGCAACATTTATTAAGGCGCTGTCTCTCTCTCTCTCTCTCTCTCCTGAGGATGCTGGGTTGTTCACTTTTAAATACTTTAGCTGTGCTTTATTTTCAACTTGTCTGAAGTAATACAACCAATGGAATAGCCCCGTTTCTAATCCTGCCCCTCCGGCGCTACAGGCTCGCTCAATCACATGCTCGAAGTATTTGAAAGAAAACAAATGCTATTTGCAACCCAGGTCAGGCTGGTGTGATGCATCAGTATTGTTGTTATCTTGGCTGTGGGGTAACCAATGGCAACCAGGTCAGAATATAGCTGATCATGTGTTGGTGTAATGGGTGGTGTGTCTGTGTGTTTGTGTGTGTGTGTGTGTGTGTGTTAAAATAATTCCCCTATGGGGACAAACCGAAGAACCCTACATGGTTCTACTTTAGCACCTTTTTTTTTCTAAGAGTGTACATGTCCCAAATTATTGTAATACGTTAGCCTAACATGATCCACTATTGCTAGCGATCCTCAGGAACAACCACACGAATGTCACAGAGGAAAGAAAGGTAAACTAAAGATGTAATGGAATGATGCAAAATGTAAGGAAACTAACACTAAAAGTGACAGTTATAAATGCATGTGGGTATAACTGACGGTGGCTACCGATAGTGTGGTCCCCTGTAGCTCAGTTGGTAGAGCATGGCGCTTGCAACGCCAGGGTTGTGGGTTCGTTTCCCACGGGGGGTGGGGGCAGTATGAAAATGTATGCGCTCACTAACTGTAAGGCGCTATGGATAAGAGCGTCTGCTAAATGACTAAAATGTGAAATGCTTAATATTTAACATAATACAAATTTTAAAAAGTGTGGGTATATAATTAAAACAGTCTAGAAATCATAAATCAACTCGGGAGGTTCATACTGTGATTTGCGCACGGCTACAGAAGCCTATAGCTTGGGTCTCCAAATGTCATCTCTGCAGGTTAAAAGGTCAGCATTTCACTCTGGAAAAGGTGATATGTTGATTTGCTGCCATATGACTGGTTTCACATTTGTCTCCAGCGATCAGAAGATAAAACAATTTACATTTACAGTCCCATTGTCCAAACCGATTGCTCAGTTACCTAGCTCTTATCAATTTGTAAATAATGGTGCATGGAGAATGGTGTTATTTCTGTCAGAAAAATTAAGTAGACATTGCTCCACTTGGAACTGGCAGGTTGCTTGACCTTATTCATCGCACGTAGAGGTGGTGGAATTAAGTCTAGGTCAGAATACGGTGTATTTTTTAGTCATTTTAGCAGACGCTCTTATCCGGAGCAACTTACAGTTAGCGTGCGCATACATTTTTCATACTGCCCCCCCCCCGTGGGAATCGAACCCACAACCCTGGCGTTGCAAGCGCCATGCTCTACCAACTGAGCTACAGGACGCCTCCTCTCCACCTTAGTTTATATGATCTCCACCTCGAACGAATAGCAGGTGAACAACACACTATTCTCATGCTTAAGTTCCAGGTCAGAATACGCACAGAGAGAAAAGTGCATAAAAATAGATTTACGTTCCATTTACGCGTGGCGCTTAACTCGGGTCGGACTCCCCCCCCCTAGCTGTCTAACATCTATACTCTCCCACTATGTAGCTATCAACAACACCTGCCTATGTAAACAGTACTTTATGAAGGGACATAAAGGTCTAACCATACTGAACCTTGTATCCAGTCAAAATATAATAAAATGTCCCAACAAGTTTTACAATGTCATATCCAATATCATTAAACTAGTTATGTCAATGTCATATGCAATATCATTAAACTAGTTATGTCAATGTCATATTCCATATCATTAAACTAGTTATGTCAATGTCATATCCCATATCATTAAACTAGTTATGTCAATGTCATATCCCATATCATTAAACTAGTTATGTCAATACCATATCCCATATCATTAAACTAGTTATGTCAATACCATATCCCATATCATTAAACTAGTTATGTCAATACCATATCCCATATCATTAAACTAGTTATGTCAATACCATATCCCATATCATTAAACTAGTTATGTCAATACCATATCCCATATCATTAAACTAGTTATGTCGATGTTTGTTGTAATTATGATTTGTTATGGTGTGGTGGTGGCGGTAAAAATCACAAGGCCTCATTGGGCTGATTCAGGTCCCTCCTTTGTGTTGTCTTTAGATTGGATCAGGCTTTGGTGGGCTGATTCAGGTCCTTCCTTTGTGTTGTCTTTAGATTGGATCAGGCTTTGGTGAGCGGTTTAATGACATTGTCAGATTTTCCCTGTCTTTTGTTTTGTAGAATACGGCGGCGGTTCTTCAACAACGAAGTACCATACCTTCAACCCAGGGTTCAGCTCCAAGTCCTACGTCTACACAGGCTCCAGACCTGTCATGGTGAGTGGTAGTCCTACGTCTACACAGCCTCCAGACCTGTCATGACAGGCTCCAGACCTGTCGTGGTGAGTGGTAGTCCTACGTCTACACAGCCTCCAGACCTGTCATGGTGAGTGGTAGTCCTATGTCTACACAGCCTCCAGACCTGTCATGACAGGCTCCAGACCTGTCGTGATGAGCGGTTGTCTTAGGGACCAGGTATAACAAACAATACCCCCCTGGCAGAACGTCTTCTTACTCTCAGGAAAATACTGCAGCCGTTACACATCCAGAGGTTTCTGGATATCAGATCATATGTTCAGCAAAAGGCCCATGAATGAGTTAAGCGGTTGGGCGTCTCCAATAAGGAGATAGAGACGTTATAGTCGGTGTCTGTCTACGTTAACATATGGACAGTGTACTCTCTGTGTGCTCTCTGCAGCTCCCTGTAAATACACAGTGGGATGGTTTCACATTACGGTGTGCCAGAGCCAGTGATCTAGGTCTTCTCTGAGCTCCAGAAGTGCGGTATTTCACAGCAGGGGGGGGGGGTTAGTTGTCTCAAATAAAATAAAATAAAATAAAATAAAATGTTATCTGCCACATGCGCCGAATACAACAGGTGTTGACCATACAGTGAAATGCTTACTTACAAGCCCTTAACCAACAATGCAGTTTTAAGAAAGAAAAAAAAAAAGTGTTAAGTAAAAATAGCAAATAATTAAAGAGCAGCAGTAAAATAACAGTAGGGAGGCTATATACAGGGGGTACCGGTACAGAGTCAATGGTAAATAACAGTAGGGAGGCTATATACAGGGGGTATCGATACAGAGTCAATGGGAAATAACAGTAGGGAGGCTATATACAGGGGGTACCGGTACAGAGTCAATGGTAAATAACAGTAGGGAGGCTATATACAGGGGGTATCGATACAGAGTCAATGGGAAATAACAGTAGGGAGGCTATATACAGGGGGTACCGGTACAGAGTCAATGTGAAATAACAGTAGGGAGGCTATATACAGGGGGTACCAGTACAGAGTAAATGTGAAATAACAGTAGGGAGGCTATATACAGGGGGTACCGGTACAGAGTCAATGGGAAATAACAGTAGGGAGGCTATATACAGGGGGTACCGGTACAGAGTCAATGGGAAATAACAGTAGGGAGGCTATATACAGGGGGGTACCGGTACAGAGTCAGTGTTAGTCGAGGTAATTGAGGTAATATGTACATGTAGGTAGAGTTATTAAAGTGACTATGCATAGATAATAAACAGAGTAGCAGCAACGTAAAAGAGGGGGTGGGGTTGGGGTGGTGGGGCAATGCAAATAGTCGGGGTAGTCATGATTAACTATTCAGGAGTCTTATGGCTTGGGGGTAGAAGCTGTTAAGAAGCCTCTTGGACCTAGATTTGGCACTCCGGTACCACTTGCCGTGCGGTAGCAGAGAGAACAGTCTAATGACTAGGGTGGCTGGAGTCTGTGACAATTTTCAGGGCCTTCCTCTGGGGGTTAAACGTCTTCATTCTTCTTCTTCTTCTCCTCTCATTCACCTCCTCTTCCTCCCCTCCTCTTCCTCCTCCTCCTCCTCCTCTTCCTCCTCCTCCTATTTCTCCCCCTCCTCCTCTTCCTCCCCTCCTCTTCCTCCCCTCCTCTTCCTCTCCCTCCTCCTCCTCCTCTTCCTCCCCTCCTCATCCTCATCCTCTCCCTCCTCCTCCTCTTCCTCCTCCTCCTCTTCCTCCCCTCCTATTCCTCCTCTTCCTCTTCCTCCTCTTCCTCCTCTCCTCTTCCTCCCCCTCCTCCTCCTCCTCTTCCTCCCCCCCTCCTCCTCCTCCTCCTCCTCCTCCTCCTCCTCCTCCTCCTCCTCCTCCTCCTCCTCCTCCTCTTCCTCCTCCTCCTCATCCTCCTCCTATTCCTCCTCCTCCTCTTCCTCCCCTCATCTTCCTCCTCCTCATCTTGCTCATCCTCTTCCTACCTCCACCTCCTCTTCCTCCTCCTCATCTTCCTCCCCTCCTCTTCTTCCTCCTTTTCTTCCTCCTCTCCTCTTCCTCCACCTCCTCCTCCTCCTCTTCCTCCCCTCCTTTTCCCCCCCCTCCTCCTCCTCCTCTTCCTCCTCCTCCTATTCCTCCTCCTCTTCCTCCCCTCATCTTCCTCCTCCTCATCTTCCTCCTCCTCTTCCTCCCGTCCTCTTCCTCCCCCTCCTCCTCCTCCTCTTCCTCCTCCTCCTATTCCTCCTCCTCTTCCTCCCCTCATCTTCCTCCTCCTCATCTTCCTCCTCCTCTTCCTCCCTCCTCCTCCTCTTCCTCCTCCTCATCTTCCTCCCCTCCTCTTCTTCCTCCTTTTCTTCCTCCTCCTGCTCTTCCTCTCTCCTCCTCCCCTTCCTACCCTCCTCCTCCTCTTCCTCCACTCCTCTCCTCTTCCTCTCCCTCCTCCCCATCCCCTCCTCTTCCTCCCCCCATCTCCTCCTCCCCTCCTCTTCCTCCTCATATGTCCCAGGCACCCAAGATGTCTCAGCACTCAGGCGGTTTCTCCTCCCACTCGGCGGCGGATCTGGGCGGTGGTCAGAGGGTCACCATGGGAGGTTTAGGAAGAGGAGGTGGAGGGCACAACTACCACGATGACATGCGTCTGGGAGGGGGGTACCAAGGAGGAGGGGGCTACCAGGTAACATTTGAATGATTCACTTTATTTGAATGATTTATTGTATTTTAATGATTTATTGTATTTTAATGATTTACTGTATTTTAATTATTTATTGTATTTTAATGATTTACTGTATTTTAATGATTTATTGTATTTTAATGATTTACTGTATCTTAACGATTTATTGTATTTTAAAGATTAATTGTAATTTAATGATTTACTGTATCTTAATGATTTATTGTATTTTAATGATTTATTGTATTTGAATGATTTATTGTATTTTAATGATTTACTGTATTTTAATGATTTATTGTATTCTGTGTACTGTATAAAACTATGTTTACTGAATCTACACCACATAAGAAATATATTTTAATTTGTCATTATAATTACTTTTCTATATATACAGTATTTAGTATACAGTAATAATTACTTTAATTTGTATATATACAGTAATACAGTAATATACTGTAAATACCAGGGTGCTGATTTATTTATGTTTTGTTCTACAGGGAGGAGGGATCTACCAGGGAGGAGGAGGGGGCATCGTGAGGGGGCAACAGATGTCCACCTTGATCCGGACGATGAGCCGTGGCCCTGGGCCAGATCCGGAGACCTCCCTGCGCTCCATGAGACTCCAGAACCTGCCTGCACAGGTATATGAATTTATATATATATATATATTATGTTTTGTGTGTGTATTGTGTGAACGTCAAATGTTTTTCTTGCAAGTGTTGTTCTGTATATCTGTGTTGTTGATATCTTTCTATCTGGATTGATGATAATCTGGCTTGATGTAGATGTTGATGATGATCTGGATTGATGATGATCTGAATTGATGTGGATGTTGATGATGATCTGGATTGATGATGATCTGAATTGATGTGGATGTTGTTGATGATCTGGATTGATTATGATCTGGATTGATGATGATCTGGGTGATTATGATCTGGATGGATGATGATCTGGATTGATGATGATCTGGATGTTGATGATGATCTGGATTTATGATGATTTGGATTGATGTGGATGTTGATGATGAACTTCTGTATGCACACCAAGACAAATTCCTCTGTTCCTGTTCCAGTTTGTTGCTTGGCAACAACACTTCCTGATTCTGTTTCTGTTTCTTGTTTCAGCCGTCCCCAGTGGCATCCTGGGTGGCTGCGGACGTCGGCGATGGGGGCAGCCTGGTCTCAGACCGCGACGCCACCTTCAGCCGCCAGCAGTCTGTCTACAGCACCGTTAGCGGAGGAGCCTACAGCTCAGGGACACAAATGAGAAAGGCAGGAGGAGGAGGAGGAGGAGGAAGAGGGGGGTCCATGGTACCCATGAGGCGTTCACTCAGCGGGACACTAGCCCAGAGCGGAGGAGGGGATATGATGGTTGGTGGAGCGCCCTACCGGACATTTTACACAAGATTAACACATTCCGTTTGCACGGCATGTGAAATGACTTGATAACCTGTTTCTCATACAATTGAAATGTATTTAGGAACAAACGATGCACTCCTAACTAGATTTACATGCTGACCACACCGTTCGCGTTGAAATATAAATGTACACATACGTGTTATTCAATCATTGCATCCAAACTGCTCGCGCGCGTCAACGAGAGTCTGCGTAGCCAGGCGCTAAAATAGAACTTGGTTCTATTTGTGACGCTTGACGCGCTGCAAGTCCCGCCTCTCCCATCTCCTCATTGGTTTTTAGGAACATATACCCACGTGGGTGATTGAAAGATGAACTGAGGTCCACACTTCAGTCCAGTTGGTGGTGGTAATGCATCTTAAAGTTGGTTGCCAACTGACATATAAAGTCCAAAGAAGAAGAAGAAGAAGAAGAAGGAGAAGAAGAAGAAGAAGACTGAAGGAGGAAAGATGACTAGAAACAAACTTGGATTACCCTTTTATCTGTGGATTAATTGTCGGAGCGCGTTCCCGGTCTAGTCAGCATGTTAAGGAATTTGTCAAAGCAAAGACAGGGTAGAATGCATTTTTAACGTGTCACAGTACACCTTCTTCACAGTAAAAACATTTATTTTATAATGATTGTATTCATAAGATTGTATTTGTTTTATTTTTAACATCCGGTAGGGAGGAGAGGAGATGATGATGGTCCAGCAGCAGCATTCATTTAAAGGGCCAGCGTACCGCACCATCAGCAGGATCAACAACAGGAACAACAGGATGTCCATGGGCTCCATGTCCGGGGCTTCCACCTTCCCCCCTGGGGGGAGCAGCTACAGTGGAGGAGGAGGAGGAGGAGGAGGAGGTGGAGAGTTCGTGATGGGCCAGGTGAGGGTAACGATATGATAACTTTCATTTAGTTTGCATGGAAATGTATTTTATTTGGTCAGCACACAGAACCCACTATAATACAGTATAACAATACAACCCGCTATAATACAGTATAACAATACAAATCAAATCAAATCAAATCAAATCAAATTTTATTGGTCACATGCGCCGAATACAACAGGTGCAGACATTACAGTGAAATGCTTACTTACAGCCCTTAACCAACAGTGCATTTATTTTAAACAAAAAAGTAAGAATAAAACAACAAAAAAAAGTGTTGAGAAAAAAAGAGCAGAAGTAAAATAAAATAACAGTAGGGAGGCTATATATACAGGGGGGTACCGGTGCAGAGTCAATGTGCGGGGGCACCGGCTAGTTGAGGTAGTTGAGGTAATATGTACATGTGGGTAGAGTTAAAGTGACTATGCATAAATACTTAACAGAGTAGCAGCAGCGTAAAAAGGATGGGGTGGGGGGGCAGTGCAAATAGTCCGGGTAGCCATGATTAGCTGTTCAGGAGTCTTATGGCTTGGGTGTAGAAGCTGTTGAGAAGTCTTTTGGACCTAGACTTGGCACTCCGGTACCGCTTGCCGTGCGGTAGCAGAGAGAACAGTCTATGACTAGGGTGACTGGAGTCTTTGACAATTTTGAGGGCCTTCCTCTGACACCGCCTGGTATAGAGGTCCTGGATGGCAGGGAGCTTTGCCCCAGTGATGTACTGGGCCGTACGCACTACCCTCTGTAGTGCCTTGCGGTCAGAGGCCAAGCAGTTGCCATACCAGGCGGTGATGCAACCAGTCAGGATGCTCTCGATGGTGCAGCTGTAGAATTTTTTGAGGATCTGAGGACCCATGCCAAATCTTTTTAGTCTCCTGAGGGGGAATAGGCTTTGTCGTGCCCTCTTCACGACTGTCTTGGTGTGTTTGGACCATGATAGTTCGTTGGTGATGTGGACACCAAGGAACTTGAAGCTCTCAACCTGTTCCACTACAGCCCCGTCGATGAGAATGGGGGCGTGCTCAGTCCTCTTTTTTTTCCTGTAGTCCACAATCATCTCCTTTGTCTTGGTCACGTTGAGGGAGAGGTTGTTGTCCTGGCACCACACGGCCAGATCTCTGACCTCCTCCCTATAGGCTGTCTCATCGTTGTCGGTGATCAGGCCTACCACTGTTGTGTCGTCGGCAAACTTAATGATGGTGTTGGAGTCGTGCCTGGCCATGCAGTCATGGGTGAACAGAGAGTAACCCGCTATAATACAGTATAACAATACAACCCGCTATAATACAGTATAACAATACAACCCGCTATAATACAGTATAACAATACAACCCGCTATAATACAGTATAACAATACAACCCGCTATAATACAGTATAACAATACAACCCGCTATAATACAGTATAACAGTACAACCCGCTATAATACAGTATAACAATACAACCCGCTATAATACAGTATAACAATACAACCCGCTATAATACAGTATAACAATACAACCCGCTATAATACAGTATAACAATACAACCCGCTATAATACAGTATAACAATACAACCCGCTATAATACAGTATAACAATACAACGTACTGCAACAGAACAACACTGGGAGGTGAGCCCACACATATTCACATAGCCCCTGGTCCATGATGGGCCTAATCTGAGAGGTATTCTTAGCACCTAGCACACTGTCGCTATTTTACCTGCCTTGATTCTAAATGGATGTTTTTTTAATTTTTTTTTTATAATTATTATTATTAGCTATTATAAATAAGAAAAATGCCTTAGTCAAGCTTTCAGATAATGAAAAGCGCTATACAAATTCAAATGTATAATTGTTATTGTTGTTATGATTATGTATTTGTATAATATTGTTATTATTGTTATTGTTATGTATTATTTGTAGGTGTTGTCGGGGTCTCAGGGGAATCTGATGATGATGCAACAGCAGAGACAGGCCTCTCTGCCCAGGACCATGTCTGTCAAGAGCATGCACAGTGTCGGGAAGGGCATGGATATCTACGACAGACAGATGGACATGACTGACAGCATGGGAAACCTCAGCGGGTAAGACATGACTGGCACTGTGCCTAATAAAACAGGTGTGGACTTTACTGTGAAATGCTTACTTACGAGCCCTTTCCCAACAATGCAAAGTAAGCAATTAGCATCATATAAAAAAGGAAATAGTAACACAATAAAATGCTAAATGATCAAAGAGGATGTTTTGATGAGGGAGGAGCGCGTTATGTCTCTTTCCCAAGAGCTTTGGATTCTGAGACGACTCCTGCATTGCTCCCGTAGTGGCAGGACTGGTTTGGGTGTGGCACCACAGCAGTTTCAGGCTTCACATTTCACACACAAACAGCCGGCGCCTAGCGGTTAGCACAGCAGATGGAAATAACACAGTGTGTTAGCTTTAGCTTAGTTACCATTCACACAGGCAAATACTTACACCATGGGAGTGAATCCTGTGAATCATTTTGGCCTGGCTGGTCAGCTAGACTGGCAATGTTGATTCAAGTATTACCTCCGTTTGCCTAATCATACACCAGGGGTTGGGTTCAACTCCATTTGAATTCCAGTCAATTGAGTTCCACGTTTTCCGCATTGAAAGCATTGAAGGAGTTGGAATTTTCAGTGTACTTCCTTTAAATGTAATTGACCCCTGTCATACACAGAGGGCCAGTTTCTCAATAGAGGAGCTTTTCATTCCAGGACCAGGCTCGTCTTGATGCACTACATTACCAAAAGTATGTGGACGCCTGCTCGTGAAACATCTCATTCGAAAATCACGGGCATTAATATGGAGTTGGTCCCCCCCCCCCCTTTGCTGCTATAACAGCCTCCACTCTTCTGGGAAGGCTTTCCACTAGATGTTGGAACATTGCTGCTGGGACTTGCTTCCATTCAGCCACAAGAGCATTAGTGAGGTCGGGCACTGATGTTGGGTGATTAGGCCTGGCTCACAGTCGGCGTTCCAATTCATCCCAAAGATGTTCAATGGGGTTGAGGGTCAGGGCTCTGTGCAGGCCAGTCAAGTTCTTCCACACCGATCGCAACAAACCATTTCTGTATGGACCTCGCTTTGTGCACGGGGGCATGCTGAAACAGGAAAGGGCCTTCCCCAAACTGTTGCCACAAAGTTGGAAGCACAGAATCGTCTACAATGTCAATTGTATACTGTAGCGTTAAGATTTCCCTTCACTGGAACTAAAGGGCCTAGCCCGAACCATGAACAACAGCCCCAGACCATTATTCCTCCTCCACCAAACTTTACAGTTGGCACTATGCATTGGAGCAGGTAGCGTTCTCCTGGCATCCGCCAAACCCAGATTTGTCCGTCGGACTGCCAGATGGTGAAGCGTGATTCATCACTCCAGAGAACATGTTTCCACTGCTCCAGAGTCCAATGGCGGCGAGCTTTACACCACTCCAGCCGACGCTTGGCATTGTGCATGGTGATCTTAGGCATTTGTGCTGTTACTCGGCAATGGAAACCCATTTCATAAAGCTCCCGACGAACAGTTCTTGTGCTGACGTTGCTTCCAGAAGCAGTTTGGAACTCGGTAGTGAGTGTTGCAACCGAGGACAGACGATTTTTACGCGCTACGCGCTTCAGTGGTCCCGTTCTGTCAGCTTGTGTGGCCTACCACTTCGCAGCTGAGCCGTTGTTGCTCCTAGACGTTTCCACTTCACAATAACAGCACTTACAGTTGACCGGGGGCAGCTCTAGCAGGGCAGAAATTTGACGAACTGACTTGTTGGAAAGGTGGCATCCTATGACGGTGCCACGTTGAAAGTCACTGAGCTCTTCAGTAAGGCCATTCTACTGCCAATGTTTGTCTATGGAGATTGCACGGCTGTGTGCTCGATTTTATACACCTGTCAGCAACGGGTGTGGCTGAAATAGCCAAATCCATTAATTTGAAGGGGTGTCCACATACTTTTGCATATATAGCGTGAGTTTCCCAGAGTGTCAGCACCATGAAATCCCCTGTCATTCATCCCCTATTCTTCATCTGAGTGTCTATTTAACCAGATTACTGTAAAGCTCTTCATGACAGCTGTTGACAACTGGGCTTTATAAATACATTTAGGACAGGAATCATTGCGATCCACAATAGATCCACGTTATAGCGCACTTGACATTTAAAGGTCATTTCTAAATGAGCCGACATCTTTACCTTAAATGCGATCTCCATGAAGGCGGTAGCATTGCCTTTAAAAGCTGCGTTGTCCACCATCGGATTGAATCCCGCCCTTTAATAATTGATCTCTTTGTGATTGGAAAGGATTAATAACTTGGACATGCCTACGGCGGTGAGGTACCTGACGGAGGAGGATGCTGACCTGCAGGTTCTGGGAGCAGCGTATATCCAACACGAGTGTTACAACAACAACGATGCCAAGAACGAGGTAATAAAGGGACTTCCTTTTGCATCCTGCGGTCACCAGATCTCTGGCTGCGTCCCAAATGACACCCTATTCGCTTTATAGTGCACTACTTTTGACCAGAACCCTATAAAACTAGTGCACTATATAGGGAATAGGGTGCCATTTGGGACACAAACCTCTGTCTCTCTGTTGTTTCCTTCTTGTGACGTTTTCCCACGTCTGATGTGGAAAGGACTACTACGTGAACTGACTAACCCTCAGATATGCATCCCTGTTGGTGTGGTACAGTATGTTCCCCAGCTGAATATAAGGAACATACATTCTTTAATGGTGGTGAGGTTGTTAGTTGCATAAGAACTATTGTGTGTCAACACATTGACGTGCTCCAGCGGTGCCAGCTGCTTATTATGAACGCCTCAACTGTGATTTATGTCATAGTTCAGCAGACGTTCATGTGATCTAAGTAGTTATAAAAGAATGCTGTCTTGTTGAAGTGACAGACAGTAGTTTGTCACAGACAGGTATCTTGTAGGACAGCGGGTAGCTTAGTGGTTAAGAGCGTTGTACCAGTACCCGAAAAGTCGCTGGTTCTAATCCCTTGAGCAAGGCACTTAACCCTAATTGCTCCTGTAAGTCGCTCTGGAGAAGAGCGTCTGCTAAATGACTAAAATGTAAATGTAATGTAATGAAACCATGGTCCTGGAGTGCTGTAGGAAGACCAGGTGTGTTGAATTCAGGCTGAACTGAACTGCTCAGTTGGGCAGATGTGGTGCCTAGTTGGAACACAATCCTGCAGCACAGGGTTGCCTACTCCTGTTGTAGGAAGTTGTTCTGCTAACTAACGAGCAGTATTACAGACTGTTGTAGGAACTTGTTCTGCTAACTAACAAGCAGTATTACAGACTGTTGTAGGAAGTTGTTCTGCTAACTAATGAGCAGTATTACAGACTGTTTTAGGAACTTGTTCTGCTAACTAACGAGCAGTATTACAGACTGTTGTAGGAACTTGTTCTGCTAACTAACAAGCAGTATTACAGACTGTTGTAGGAAGTTGTTCTGCTAACTAACAAGCAGTATTACAGACTGTTGTAGGAAGTTGTTCTGCTAACTAACGAGCAGTGTTACAGACTGTTGTAGGAACTTGTTCTGCTAACTAACAAGAAGTATTACAGACTGTTGTAGGAACTTGTTCTGCTAACTAACGAGCAGTATTACAGACTGTTGTAGGAAGTTGTTCTGCTAACTAACGAGCAGTGTTACAGACTGTTGTAGGAACTTGTTCTGCTAACTAACAAGAAGTATTACAGACTGTTGTAGGAACTTGTTCTGCTAACTAACGAGCAGTGTTACAGACTGTTGTAGGAACTTGTTCTGCTAACTAACGAGCAGTATTACAGACTGTTGTAGGAAGTTGTTCTGCTAACTAACGAGCAGTGTTACAGACTGTTGTAGGAAGTTGTTCTGCTAACTAACGAGCAGTGTTACAGACTGTTGTAGGAACTTGTTCTGCTAACTAACGAGCAGTATTACAGACTGTTGTAGGAAGTTGTTCTGCTAACTAACGAGCAGTATTACAGACTGTTGTAGGAACTTGTTCTGCTAACTAACAAGAAGTGTTACAGACTGTTGTAGGAACTTGTTCTGCTAACTAACGAGCAGTATTACAGACTGTTGTAGGAACTTGTTCTGCTAACTAACGAGAAGTGTTACAGATAGTACTTCATGTGTGCTGTTGTTGAAGGAGGAGTTTCAGCCAGTCCCAATTCATTCTATACCCCTTTCCCATGTGGTCTTCACCTCTCCAGACCCTACAGACCTGCAAAAACATTGAATGGTTGGGGCCAAGGCGTAGGGAGTGAATTAGGACCATACGTTTGAGTCTGAACCTTACAGAGTTGTCCCCGTTTCTCTCTCTCTCTCTCCCACCACTAGGCGCGGCATTATAAGGCCATCCCAGAGCTGGTGAGGCTGTTCAGCAGTGAGAACCAGGAAGTGGCTCGCTACGCCACGGGGGCTGTGAGGAACCTCATCTATGAGAACATGGACAACAAGATGTCCCTCATCGAGGAGGGAGGGATCCCACAACTCATTAATGCTCTGAAGGAGAATGATGACGAGCTACGGAAGAACATCACAGGTATGACGTTTTAAAATGGTTGTCATTCAGCAGACTGTGTGCTGTCTGGGGGTTGAGAACAGAGCGGAAGACACATTTACATTGTTCGATTGGACAAGAAAGTCATATTGTATTACATTTTAGTCATTTAGCAGACGCTCTTATCCAGAGCGACTTACAGTTTGTGAGTGCATACATTTTTCATACTGGCCCCCTGTGGGAATCAAACCGACAACCCTGGCGTTGCAAGCGCCATGCTCTACCAACTGAGCTACACGGGGCCCGGAGAAACTTCCAGTTAGGACATTCATCTCTAAGGTAGCTTAGGTAAGACAACCAGATTTCACAGTCATAGTAAGTGAAACTTTCCTGAGAGACCAAGTGCTCTCTCAGATACAGTGACAGGCCGTTGTTTGAAAAGAGAACGTGTTCTCTCTCAGTAACGTACCTGGTTAAAAAAACTTTAGGTTCAATAACAGGTATGAGAGCCCAAGTGTCTGTCACTCACACCATGGCCTCTCAATAGAGTTGACCCCATAGAAATAGAATGAGTAGAACTGAAATTCTCATTCGAGTCAACGTTCCGTGATGGGGTGGACTGGCGGCCGTATTGAGTGTAGAGTTGAATTGCTGAGATCTGAGGGATTTTCTCCGGTCTAGTTACTGTAGTTATGGTCCCTGCCTCTCTGTACTACCTTAACCTTTCCATCCACATGTCTAGACCGGTAGCAGGCTGAGGGTTGAAACTGAAGCTATCTATTGGAACTCAAAGGAAACCCCTCAACACCTAGCTTTCTACAACAGATTCTGGGGTTAAGTGAGTTCAGGCAGACCCTATAGGGAATGGTTTGGGCGGGGGTGAGGGAGTGGCGAGCTGAGGACCCCTTGCCCTTTATGGGACCTGAATAATACACGTCCATGAAAAGGTGGTGTCTGTTTTCGTGTGTGTGCATGCGTGCGTGTGTGTGTGTGCATGCGTGTGTGTGTGTGTGTGTGTGCATGCGTGTGTGTGTGTGTGTGTGAGGAGTACATAGTATAAAGGAGGGAGTTGTCTCCACCTGAGGAGTACATAGTGTTTATGAGAGAGTTGTGTCCACCTGAGGAGTACATAGTGTTTATGAGAGAGTTGTGTCCACCTGAGGAGTACATAGTGTTTATGAGAGAGTTGTGTCCACCTGAGGAGTACATAGTGTTTATGAGGGAGTTGTCTCCACCTGAGGAGTACATAGTGTTTATGAGAGAGTTGTGTCCACCTGAGGAGTACATAGTGTTTATGAGAGAGTTGTGTCCACCTGAGGAGTACATAGTGTTTATGAGAGAGTTGTGTCCACCTGAGGAGTACATAGTGTATAGGAGGGAGTTGTCTCCACCTGTAGTTATCTCTCTGTCTCTCTGCCACACCCTGTATGACTCAGAGTCCTGTCACTCTCTCTAGTCAAGCTGTTACAACACGATCTGTGTCTCTGCCTGTTCATGCTGTTGGTACACAGCCAAGGGGAACTCCTGTAGAGGAGAGAGAAAGGGCAGGCTGTAGAGAGCTGTTATGACTGCTGGGTTAGTTCCTATGAGACTGGTCATAGTGGCAACACACTAGACATGTTTTTGCTTGTTGATGTTGTCACCGAAATACGTATTTACCAGATTAAAACAGATACCAGTTGACCCGTAAACTAGATGACCAGTTTACAACCAGAAAAGTATGTTATTAAGATGCAATTTGCCACATTGTGCCCGCTGAGAAGCATGCTTTCTATTACGTTTTTGTGAACCGCCCTATGGCCACTTTACTCAGCGAGTCTCTCTGGGTTTTCTGTCAGGTATTCTGTGGAACCTGTCATCCAAAGACAACCTGAAGGAGAAACTAGCCAAGGAGACGCTAGCTGAGCTCACAGAGAAGATCCTGATCCCACTGTCAGGCAGCAGAGACTCTGAGGTCATCCAGCAGAGCCCCTCCGAGGTTGACATCTTCTACAACACCACCGGGTGTCTCAGGTACAGTACACTATAGTACAGTATAGTACAGTAAAGGACAGTACAGTACACTATAGTACACTATACTATAGTACAATATAGAAAAATATAGTACACTATAGTACAGTATAGTACAGTACAGTACACTATAGTACACTATACTATAGTACAATATAGAAAAATATAGTACACTATAGTACAGTATAGTACACTATAGTACAGTATAGTACAGTATAGTACACTATACTATAGTACAATGTAGAAAAATATAGTACACTATAGTACAGTATAGTACAATATAGTACAGTATCTAGTTCACTGCAGTATAGTACAGTATAGTACACTATAGTACACTATAGTACAGTATAGTACAGTATAGTACACTATAGTACAGTATAGTACACTATAGTACACTATAGTACAGTATAGTACAGTATAGTATACTATAGTACACTATAATACAGTATGGTACAGTATAGAGTTCACTGCAGAATAGTACACTTTCTGTTCTTCTTGTTCTTCCTCTCATTCTTCACATAATTTTTCGGGTAAGGACACCGTTCCATGTCAGCTCTGATTTATGTTTGCCTGTCCCGTCCCTAACCTCTCCCCAGGAACCTGAGCTCAGTGAATGAGAAGACCAGACGGCAGATGCGGGAGACCAACGGTCTGGTGGATGCCCTGGTAGGATACATCCAGGCCTCGCTACAGGACGGCAAGGGGGAGGAAAAGGTGAGGCCCGAGCAAGATTGTAGAATAATAATTTCGTTATTGATCGGATATATAGCGCCTTTCCTGATGCTCAAAGCACTTTGCAATGAAAGGGGAAACTCACCTCAACCAACAATTTCCTATCTGGGTGACTCCACAGCAGGCATTTTGCGCCAGAACCCTCACCACACATCAGCTAATCTCATTTGAGTATGGACCTAATGATTTTTCTGTGTGTGTCCAGGGAGTGGAGAATGCAGTGTGTGTCCTGAGGAACCTCTCCTACCAACTGTACAGTGAGATCCCGCCCTCAGCCCTGCTACGTCTGGAAGGACCAACCAGAGGCCAGGAAACCAGCATGAGCGAAGCCATTGGTTGCTTTACCCCTCAGAGCAATAAAGTCAAAAATGTATGTATCACACTGTCAATCCTCTCATTCTTCTTGTCCATCTTCTTCTGTCAGTGTAGCAGTTGAACCTTAATTGTCTTAATGCTATTCAGTATGACCCCTGTCTGTGTGAAAATGGAACTCCCCTTTTCCGTCTTTCAGAGGAAGAACCAGGACATGGCTACGTTCACAGAGGTAGCCCGCATACCCAAGGGTCTAGAGTGGCTGTGGCACCCCCAGGTGGTGGGGCTGTATAACAGCGTGCTGCAAAACTGTGAGAGTAACATCACCACCCGCGAGGCTGCAGCCGGGGCTCTGCAGAACATCACCGCAGGAGACAAGAGGGTGAGGGTTGAGAATTGCCAACGGGTTCTTCGGCTGTCCCCTTAGGATAACCCTTTGAAGAACCCTTTTGGTTCCAGGTAAAAAACCCTTTGGGTTCCATGTAGAACCCTCTGTGGAAAGGGTTCTACATGGAACCCAAAAGGGTTCTACCAGGAACCAAAAAGGGTTCTACCTGGAACCAAAAAGGGTTCTACCTGGAACCAAAAAGGGTTCTACCAGGAACCAAAAAGGGTTCTACCAGGAACCAAAAAAGGGTTCTACCTGGAACCAAAAACTGTTCTCCTATGGGGACAGCCGAAGAACCCTATTGGTACCTTTTTTTTTTCTAAGAGTGTAGAATGACCTCTCTGTCTCAAAAGAGTGAGCAACTCCAAGTCAGATCACTCGAATTGATCAGGTTTATAACTCTCTGTCCAGAAAACAAGCCCTATCCCAGACACTTGTGGAGATCTGAGGATTTGAGCAATCCTAGGGGGTAGGGATTGTTTATGGACAAGGCCAAAATACAGAACTTAAAATGTTCTTGACTTGGACGTACATTTCCATTCATCCCACCCTCTCCTTCCTCAGTGGGCGGAGGTGCTGAGTCATGTGGCTCTGGACCAGGAGAGGATGCTTCCTGTGGTATTGGACAAACTGAGGACCAATAATGACCCGGAGATGAGATCCATCACCGGCTTCCTAAGAAACCTGTCACGCCATGCCAAGGACAAGAACGCCATGGGTCAGTACCATAGATAATACATGTACACGCGTTAGTACCTTTGACCCACTTCAATACAAAAGTAGTTTTGTCGGTAACTTTGTCACCGATGGGAAATTGGTTTGCGGCATACGTTTTATTTTTTAAAACATGACATAATGAGAACAGCAGATCTGAATCAACACGAGGCAGAAATCAGACTTTCATGGAATTTAGGGATTGATTTCATGGCAATGTGAGATTTGCATGGACATTTGCATTTGCATGTGGACCACAAAGTTACAATGTGTCTTTGAATGACATATAAGCGAAACCAGATGGGGGGGGGGGGGGGGAACCCATTTATTTCATGCTAGAGCAAGGACCAACAACACAACACAGGTCGACCAATAAAACAATCCTCTCTCCAGCCACAAAGGTAGTGAACAACCTGGTGACTGAACTGCCCGCTGACGGTCACCAGAAGGAGCCGTCCAGCGACGTGGTGGTGAACATCTGTGGAACGCTGAACAACCTGGTGACCTCCAGCTCCGTCGCAGCCCGGGACATCGCCTTCTTCGACGGGCTGCAGAAACTAGTGGCGATCAAGAACTCCCACGACAGCAGGTATGGGAATGGGAGCAATATTGGTAGCACTGTTTCTGCTGGTATTTAACATGGTGTTAAATAGAAACTGGTGGCCATCAAGAACTCCCATGGTAGCAGGTACAGTGCTGCTTGAAAGTATGTGAACCCCACAGGGCTGGTCATTATTGTTGCTATAAAATATTAAAATAAACATGTAAAATCCTTATCTAAACCCCAATTCGTAATAAAAACATTCCAAGTAAACGACAGAAAAAAGAAAGAAAAAAAAAGATATGTTTTCATTGTTTATTTAACAAAAGTGGTTTATTTAACGGAAACTCAGATTTGATCTGTGCAGAAATATGTGAACCCCTTCAGTCAATAGCTTGTGGCAACTCCATTAGCAGCAATAACTTGGACTAAACGTCTCCTACAGCCAGTAATCAGTCTCTGACATCTGTTTTGAGGGATTTTTGTCCACTCCTCCTCACAGAACTCAGCCAATTGAGTGAGGTTTGAGGGATGTCTGGCATGAACTGCCCGCTTCAGGTCCTGCCACAGCATCTCGATTGGATTTAGGTCAGGACTTTGACTTGGCCAATCCAAAACACATCTTCTTTCTCCTGAGCCATTCTTTGGTAGATTTGCTTGAATGCTTTGGGTCGTTGTCTTGTTGGAAGACCCATTTTCGGCCCAGCTTTAGCTCCTTGACTGATGACCTGACGTTCTGTTCAAGAATCTCCTGGTATACCTCAGAATTCATGGTTCCCTTAATGATGTGGAGTCGTCCAGGTCCAGAGGAGGAAAATCAGCCCCCAGATCTTGACATTCCCACCACCATGCTTGGCTGTTGGGATAAGGTTATTTTGGTGGTAGTCAGTGTTGGGTTTTCGCCAAACATAGCGGTATTGATTGTGACCAAAAAGGTCAATTTCGGACTCATCGGTCCAGAGAATGGACTTCCAGAAACCTTCAGGTTTGTCCAGGTGGTCTCTGGCAAAGTTAAGACGGGCAGTTTGGTTCTTTTTTTGACAGCAGAGGCTTCTTCCTAGCAACCCTCCCGTGAATGGCATTTCGGTTCAGCGTTCTTATTGTTAAAGCATGCACAGTTACCTGAGATGCAGCAAGGGAGGTCTGCAAATCTCTAGATGTTATGTTTGGGTTGGCTTTTACCTGATTTATTATTGCCCTTGGGGATAGTTTGGAAGGGCGTCCACTTCTAGGCCGAGTTGCTGTCATGTTAAATGCTCTCCATTTGTAAATTATTTGCCTCAGAGTTGACTGACGGAGCTCAAATCTTTTTGAGATGATGTTATAGCCTTCCCCAGACTGATGCGCTCTCACTACCCTCGTCCTGATGTCCTCTGAGATCTCCTCTCCTCTCGGCATGGTGTGGCTTTGCATTCACCTGGATGGGTAACACCAAACTGACCAGGTTTCTTATCTCTGTTTATCAGAGTCCCGCCCAAACTCTTTCCTAACGATCTCTCCTTTTGATTGGTTCATTTGGTAGCTAATTATTTACCCACGTGATTCTACTCACCTACTTGATTTAACCAATGCAACTTGGGGTTCACTTTATTTTTGCTCCTGCACTAATTCCTTTTTAATTTTGTTTTTCTACTACACGCATGATTTCCTCTACACCAACATATGGTATTGGTAAATATAAACCTGTTATGTCAGATCAAAAAGACTGGTTCTGATTAAAATAAGATTTCATGGTAAAAACTTTAAAAAATCTGTAATTGCACAAGGGGTTCACATACTTTCAAGCAGCACTGTAAATGGAAAATGAGTAGCAGTGGAATATTAGTAGCACTGTTTCTGGACAGGAGGAGGAATGTTGAGACAGAAGATTTTACTGACCACGCGAATTGACCCGGAAATGTTCCAGGGTTCGAGTGTGAATGGTAATAGTAATGGCGAGAGGGGACAGCCATGTCTCGCTCTCTGCAACAGCGAGGATTTTGGAGTTGTTAGTATGCATGCAAGCTCTCGGCTATACTAGTGCCTAGAGTTTTTCCTGGACATTTCGTCAGTTTTTATGAGAGAGAGCCATTCAGACGCCCACTACCGTTCCCCACAGTGACAGTGTTTCCAGGAGGAGTGGATACTGAACACAATGTGCACACGATATACCACCTTTCCGACAATGTGGTAGCACATTTCCCTAGCATTTCCCCCAGCCCTGTCTGCCTGTCTGTCCCTGGCCAAACACACAGATGTGGTATTATGAGGCCACGACTGAAATGGGAAAAATATAATTATCTTATAATGCCCCTTGGTCTTGGAACAAGCTGCAAAATACTTGAAAACTGGAGGAGAGGGAATCGCTTGCTGAGTAAAGCTCTGATTTGTATGTATTGTATTGTCTTGTCTTGTGTGTACACACTGTCTACTTCCTGCTGACCTCTTGACAGGTCCCCCTTCCAAAAAGAGGTTTCTAACCTCAAGGATTTTTTTCCTGGTTAATATTAAGGTTAAATAAAGATGAAATAAAACTTAAAATGAGCAGAAACAATTCAGACAGACCTAATGTCACTCCCATGATAAGGATACCCACCTCTCTTATCAAATTAGGACAATGTCTACTTGATCAGCCCACACAGAGAGATGGTGGGTATAGAATATTCACTGTCCCTTTTATTGTGGTAATTTTCCAGTTAAGTATTAGTTACTGGGAATTAAGTTTTGTCTTGTGTCTTGAAAGAACGGTCAAACTGAAAGTCTTCAACAAAAAGCCAAGGCAGTCCTTTTGTGATCTTTAATTAAAGGGGCTTTTATTGAATTGTCTTACCATTAGAGCAGGGGGTTCTTCAACTTTTTCAGCTCGAGAAAAACCTGCTTTAGAGTATTAGAGCGAATCTCAGTCCAACTGCTTGTTTTTTAACCTGGTCTTTATGGTGTCTCTCTTGTAGCCCAGCTAGTTAATAACCTGGTCTTTATGGCGTCTCTCTTGTAGCCCTGGGAAGCTGAAAGCAGCCAAAGCAGCAGCCACAGTCCTCTGCAACATGTTCCAGTACAAGAAGCTGCACAAGGACTACAAACAGGTGAGAAACACCACTGGAGAATGGTAGAGAGGAGAGGATCACAGACTACTGGAGAATGGTAGAGAGGAGAGGATCACAGACTACTGGAGAATGGTAGAGAGGAGGATCACAGACTACTGGAGAATGGTAGAGAGGAGGATCATAGACTACTGGAGGATGGTAGAGAGGAGGATCACAGACTACTGGAGAATGGTAGAGAGGAGGATCACATACTACTGGAGAATGGTAGAGAGGAGGATCACAGACTACTGGAGAATGGTAGAGAGGAGAGGATCACAGACTACTGGAGAATGGTAGAGAGGAGGATCACAGACTACTGGAGAATGGTAGAGAGGAGGATCACAGACTACTGGAGAATGGTAGAGAGGAGAGGATCACAGACTACTGGAGAATGGTAGAGAGGAGGATCACAGACT